AAGAAAAATAGATTGGTTAGAAAGGTCGGGTCCAAGAGCTAATAGCTCGATTCTGCAGACACAAAGGATAAATTCACACACCCACCCACGACACACACACACACACACACACACACACACACACACACACACACCCACACCACACACACACACACACACACACACACACCACAACACAAATAATTGCAGATAATCGTGACGTTATCGAGCGACTATCTGTACGTCCTGGAACATTCTCCTGAATCATCACCTGATGACACGTCTGCCACGTGTAACGACCCAGTTAAGGCACCAATTACACCCGGTAATACACGACAGATCAAGAAGTAATATATCAAACATTAAACGCCTTACAATATATATATATATGTCGTACCTAGTAGCCAGAACTCACTTTTTGGCCTACTATTCAAGGCTCGATTTGCCTAATAAGCCAAGTTTTCCTGAATTAATATATTTTTTCTATTTTTTTTCTTATGAAATGATAAAGCTACCCATTTCATTATGTATGAGGTCAATTTTTTTTATTGGAGTTAAAATTAACGTAGATATATGACCGAACCTAACCAACCCTACCTAACCTAACCTAACCTATCTTTATAGGTTAGGTTTGGTTAGGTAGCCGAAAAAGTTAGGTTAGGTTAGGTTAGGTAGGTTAGGTAGTCGAAAAAACAATTAATTCATGAAAACTTGGCTAATTAGGCAAATCGGGCCTTGCATAGTAGGCTGAGAAGTGCGTTCTGGCTACTAGTACGACATATATATATATATATATATATATATATATATATATATATATATATATATATATATATATATATATATATATATATATATATATATATATATATATATATATATATATATATTATATATATAATATAATATTATATGAATCAACTTCGAACATACAACTGTTCGATGGTCCTCCATTGACCCAGAGGGAAGATGTAAGACCTGGCGGACAACTAGAAGCCATAGTCAGGCAACAGTCACCTCACCCTATCCTTCGCCGCTCCCTACAGTTAAGGAGGTTAGGTGAATAGTAGAGTGAGGTGTCAATGTCAGACCACGAACGAAGGATCAAGAGAGGAATTACCTTAAGTACTTTCGTATTTCATAATATATCTTCATAAGGATGGAATTACTGTTCAGTGGTGTGGATATATAGGAAGGAAAGAGGTGAGATATGAACCAGATAAATGGGTATCAATAATCCCACTCAAATCGCCCTCTACCTGATCAATTAAAAATAGATCTACATTATGCAAACTACTATTGATGTTCAAATTACATGATTTTGTATTCTGTATTAAAGCAGATTCAATAATGCTTCTATTGAAAATGATTTAACTTTTACAACAATAACTACTTGTTATTAGTAGTTTGTAGTAGTGTACATAAATACAAACCAGGAAAACACTTGAGATTATCAAGCCACTAATCTTCAGGCATGACTCATCCTTGCAGTCCTCATCAACAAAGGCCAAATGCTCATTAATCCAGTCGCCAATCCTCCTGTTTTGGAGTGAAAGACACTTTACGCACGGCTCTCAGCTGATGACATATGCACTCTTCCTCGAACGGTGCGTCGTTCACGTCGTCTTCATGAACAGCACCTCTGTAAAGGCGTCACCGACGTACTGCAAATGCCAGTAATTCCTAACAGAACCAAATCTGAGTTAGAACTATCTATTTAACCCTTTCTTTAATATAATATTAGCTCATATTTGACAAAATGCCCATTTTGAGTAAGCAATTGTGTAAAAGTAATGGATACGGCATTGCGGTCGGCTGCCGCATGTACGAGCCTCGCCTGGCGTCATTGGACTTTGTCCATTCCATCCAGCGGCCGACCCCACAGTCGGATCCAACAATTTTAACATGATGTTCATTCAAAATAAGAATTTCCTGTAACATAAAGGAATGTTATTATTTACTAGCATATTGTAAAATTACTGGCATAGGTTAAGTTACGTCTTTAGGTTCTGTTGGAAACTATTTGTATTTGTATTACGTGGGTGAAGCATTTACAGCAACCCATCCTCGACTCAAGTCCATTCCATCCAGCGGTCGACCCCACAAACGCATACATAAATTTTTACATGCTGTTCATTCAAAACGGGAATTTTATCATATATAAATTAATATTATATTACATTAGTATATTGTGCATATATATATATATATAGGCATAGGGTAGGTTAGATTAGGTGTTTAAGTTCTGGTTCTGTTGGCGATTATTTGTATTTGTAGTACGTGGGTGAAGCATTTACAGCGTTGTGGTTCGATCAAAATTCGTCAGTGAAGCACTTGTTCCGGAAGTGTTTGAAAGAAATCAGTTGTGAGTTGTGTGTAAACTGTTTTTCATTCATAAACACCAGGGGGTTTGGCGGGTGGATGGAATGGACTTTTGGGTCTTTGTTTGGAGGACAGACTGCCCAGTGGTCAGAGGATTCGGGTGTCGGGGTCGCCAGAATCGGGGGAATCCGGTGTCGGAGATGTTTAGGCCTGACCCCCGCCCGTGACCCCACTGCCTGACCCCCATCGCGTGACCCTCCACTGCCTGACCCCACTCCTTGACCCCTGCCCCCTGACCCCCACCGCCTGACCCCCGCCCCCTGACCCCCGCCCCCTGACCCCCACCGTCTGACCCCTCCGCCTGACCCCCGCCCCCTGACCCCCGCCCCCTGACCCCCCGCCCCCTGACCCCCACCGCCTGACCCCTCCGCCTGACCCCTGCCGCCTGACCCCACCACCATGACCCCCACCGCCTGACCCCCACCACCTGACCCCACCGCCATGACCCCCACCGCCATGACCCCCACCACCATGACCCCCCACCACCATGACCCCAACCACCCTGACCCCCACCACCATGACCCCCACCACCATGACCCCCACCACCATGACCCCCACCACCATGAACCCCACCACCATGACCCCCACTACCATGACCCCCACCACCATGACCCCCACAACCACCACCATGACCCCCACCACCACCATGACCCCCACCACCATGACCCCCACCACCACCATGACCCCCACCACCATGACTCCCACCACCATGAACCCCACCACCATGAACCCACCACCATGACCCCCACCACCACCATGACCCCCACCACCATGACCCCCCACCATGACCACCATGAACCCCACCACCATGACCCCCACCACCATGACCCCCACCCCACCATGACCCCCACCACCATGACTCCCACCACCATGAACCCCCCCCCACCACCATGACTCCCACCACCATGACCCCCACCACCACCATGACCCCCACCACCATGACCCCCACCACCATGAACCCCACCACCATGACCCCCACCACCATGACCCCCACCACCATGACCCCCACCACCACCATGACCCCACCACCACCATGACCCCCACCACCACCATGATCCCCACCACCATGACCCCCCACCACCATGACCCCCCCCCACCACCATGACCCCACCACCACCCATGACCCCCACCACCATGAACCCCACCACCATGACCCCCACCACCATGACCCCCACCACCATGAACCCCCCACCATGACCCCACCACCACCATGACCCCCACCACCATGACCCACCACCACCACCACCATGACCCAGCACCACCACCACCATGACCCAGCACCACCACCACCATGACCCACCACCACCACCACCATGACCCCCCCACCACCATGACCCCCACCACCACCACCATGACCCCCCCCCCTACCCATGACCCCCCAACTCCACCACCATGACCCCCCCACCACCATGACCCCCATCACCATGACCCCCCCACCACCACCACCATGACCCCACCACCATGACCCCCACCACCACCCACCACCATGACCCCACCACCATGACCCCCACCACCATGACCCCCACCACCATGACCCCCACCACCATGACCCCCACCACCATGACCCCCCACCACCATGACCCCCACCACCATGACCCCCACCACCATGACCCCCACCACCATGACCCCCACCACCATGACCCCACCACCATGACCCCACCACCATGACCCCCGCCGCCTGAGTCATGACCAAGAGAGTGTACCTGAGAGAGACTCAACATAAACTGGCGATGGTAACAAATTATCACGTGATGCATCAGCCTCGCTCACCGCCCCGGCCGGGACCCCATGTTTAATTCATGCACTGCTGAATGAGGCGATTATTTAACATTAACAAGTGGCGCAAGGGTGCCCCCCCCACCCCCTTAAGCTGCCCCAGCCTCCCTCCCCCCCCATCCCGCTCCTCTATCCACTCATGTGCATCATCCTCCTCTTCCTCTTCTCTCCCTGTTTTCTCCTCCCTTCCTACCTACCATACCTCTACCACCTCTTTCATATTACCTTTCCACCCTTTCTCTCTTCCCCTTCCTATCTTCCCCTTCCTATCTTCCCCTTCCTATCTTCCCCTTCCTATCTTCCCCTTCCTATCTTCCCCTTTCTATCTTCCCCTTCTCCCCTCTTCTGCCCTTCCATTCGCAGGTCCGTGACCGAGCCAAGACCGTCAGGGAGATCGAAACAAGGTGTGATTTCCACTCCTAAGTCCTCCTGCTCCTTCACCTCTCATCTTTGAGTGGCCTGTTTTCCCTTACACTCTTCACTGTATTGCACTTATTGGGTTAAACTCTTGTAGCCAGTCATTTGTCCACTCCTGGAGGTTGTTCAGTCCATCTTGTAATATTTGGCAATCATCGTCTGTCATAAATTTCGCCCTCTTCAAGCACGGTCATATTTTCCTGTGAATAATGTTTGCGTATTTTAAAGAGAGTATTGATCCTAGGACTGATCCTAGGATTGGTCCTAGAACAGGTCCTAGAACTGATCCTGGATTGGTCCTAGGACTGATCCTAGGACTGATCCTAGGACTGATCCTAGTATTGGTCGTAGGACTGATCCTAGGACTGATCCTAGTATTGATCCTAGGACTGATCCTAGGATTGGTCCTAGAACAGGTCCTAGAACTGATCCTGGATTGGTCCTAGGACTGATCCTAGGACTGATCCTAGGACTGATCCTAGTATTGGTCCTAGGACTGATCCTAGGACTGATCCTAGTATTGGTCCTAGGACTGATCCTAGGACTGATCCTAGTATTGGTCCTAGGACTGATCCTAGGACTGATCCTAGTATTGGTCCTAGGACTGATCCTAGGACTGATCCTAGGACTGATCCTAGGACTGATCCTAGGACTGATCCTAGTATTGGTCCTAGGACTGATCCTAGGACTGATCCTAGTATTGGTCCTAGGACTGATCCTAGGACTGATCCTAGTATTGGCCCTAGGACTGATCCTAGGACTGATCCTAGTATTGGTCCTAGGACTGATCCTAGGACTGATCCTAGTATTGGTCCTAGGACTGATCCTAGGACTGATCCTAGTATTGGTCCTCGTCCAACTCTGCTTGTGAAAGTTGGCTGAAGCTTCTTTCATAGTGACTCTCTGTTTCCTGTATGGTAGGTATTCCCATACCCTGTTCAGCCCTCTCCCGGTGTATCTGACAGTGTTTAATGTTTGTACCTGAAGGATTGAGTTGTTAGCTCTTGGGCCCCGCCATTCTAGCCGATAGTTGTCTAAAGTAACGACTCCTGACCTGTTATCCTTATAATGCCTACTTTTAAAATGATAAATGGGATTTATACCTATAGCCTGCTCCTTTATTTAGACCTCCTTATTTAGGCCCCTGAATGATGCTCTGACTTTTGTTAGTGTAGAGTATGCTCTTTGATATCACCCCCTCTCAATTGTCAATCAATCTGTCTCTCCTCGTAGCTCTTATCCCTCAGTTCGGGTACTAGTCTGGTGGCATACCTTTTAGCCTTCTCTAATTTATTCTTGTGTTTGACGAGATACGGACTCCATACTAGAGCTGCATACGTCAGGATTGGTCTGACATATGTGGCGTACAAGGTTCAGAATGATTCCTTGCACAGGTTTCTAAAGATCGTTCTTATGTTGGCCAACCTGGCATATTCCGCTATGATATCCTCTTGAAGTGAGCTTCAGGGGACAGGTCTGGCGTGATATCAACTCCCAGGTCTTTCTCTCGCTCTGACTCTTGAATAATTTCATCTTCCAATTGATACGTCTTTTCTGGCCCCCTGCTTCCTACACCTATCTTCATTACTTTACATTTGGTCGAGTTAAACTCTAACAGATATTTGTCGGACAATTTCTTCAGTTTTTCCAGGTCTTCTTGAAGCCTCATGTTGTCTTCCTCTCTTATTATCTCTCATAATTTTGGCGCCGTCAGCAAACATTGAGAGGAATGAGTCTATACCGTCTGGGAGATCATTTACGTATATCAGAAACAGGATAGGTCCGAGTACCGAGCCCTGTGGGACTCCACTGGTGACTTCACGCCATCCTGAGGTCTCACCCCTCACTATAACTCTCTGCTTCCTATTGCTTAGGTACTCCCTTATCCACTGGAGCGCCCTACCAGTTACTCCTGCCTCTTTCCTTCAACTTATGCACCAGCCTCTTATGGGGTACCGTGTCAAAGGCTTTCCGACAGTCCAAGAAAATGCAGTCTGCCCACCTTTCTCCTTCTTGCTTAATCTTTGTCACTTGGTAGTAGAACTCTATTAAAACCTGTTATGCAAAATTTGCCATCCCTGAACCCATGTGTGTACCTCACCTAGTTTTTTTACTCACCTAGTCGTGCTTGCGGGGTTTGAGCTTTAGCTCTTTGTTCCAGCCTCTCAACTGTCAATCAACGGACAGTGTGTGTGTGTGTGTGTGTGTGTGTGTGTGTGTGTGTGTGTGTGTGTGTGTGTGTGTGTGTGTGTGTGTGTGTGTGTGTGCGTCGTGTAAGTGACATCTTTTCTACTTTGTTTATATTCTACACCATTCATCTGTCAATCAGTTAATGCTCCCTGCCTCCTCTCTCTTCCTTATCTCCCTCCCTCCCTTCGTCCCTCCCACTCTCCCCCCCCCACCCCCCACGGACCCAACCATCCCATAAGGACGCGCCACAATAACAAATCAACCTTATAAATTATTATTTATAGCTCTTCGACTCGTCATTACTCAGGCTCCGTGTGTCCGAGAAGCTCATTTCCATGTTGCTGCTCCTCCATCTTATTCTCCTTCTCCTCCTCCTCCTCCTCCTCCTCCTCCTCCTCCTCCTCCTCCTCCTCCTCCTCCTCCTCCTCCTCCTCCTCCTCTTCCTCCTCCTCCTCCTCCTCCTCCTTCCTCCTCCTCTTCCTCCTCCTCCTCTTCCTCCTCCTCCTCCATCCCCTCCTCCTGCTCCTCCTCCAACAAGAGTTAGTAAGAAATTACGGAGCATGACAACGAAGGATAGCAAGAGATAATTAAGATAGCAGGAGATATTGAAGCATTACTGCCAGTGATATCAAGTGATAACGGAGCATGACAACGATGGATAGCAAGAGGTAATTAAGATAGCAGGAGATATTGAAGCACTGCAGCCAGTGATATCAAGCGATAACGGAGCATGACAACGATGGATATCAAGAGATAATTAAGATAGCAGGAGATATTGAAGCATTACAACCAGTGATATCAAGTGATAACGAAGCATGACAACGAAGGATAGCAAGAGATAATTAAGATAACAGGAGATATTGAAGCATTACAGCCAGTGATATCAAGAGATAACGGAGCATGACAACGATGGATAGCAAGAGATAATTAAGATAACAGGAAATAATGAAGCATTACAAACATTGATATAAAGAGATAACGGAGCATGCCAAGAAGAGATAGCAAGATATATCGAAGCAAGAAAACGAGAGGTAGCGGGAGATAACATAGATAGCAAGAATGATAACGAAAAATTACAAAGGGAGATAGCAGAGTGATGGCGAATTAAGGCAACAAGAGATAACAAAAAGATAAGGAAGCATGGCAGCGATGGATAGCAAAGAGATAACGAAGCACGACCACGGAGGATGCCAACAGATAACGAACCATGACCGTGAGAGACAGCAACAGATATAGAAGCATGACAACGAGCGATAGCAAGAGATATCGAAGCCTAGCAACAACAGATAGCAAGAGATAACGAAGCCTAGCAACAAGAGATAGCAAGAGATAACGAAGCCCGCAACAAGATAGCAAGAGATATCGAGCCTAGTAGCAAGATTAGAGAACAAATTATGAGTAAAGAGTGGTCGACACGAACTATAGATTAGACCTGCATATTAAAAGCCTTTAATAGATAGCTAAAATCGTTAATAGATAGAGCTCTTTTTCAATACTGTAACACAACGACAGCATTCACCCCCCCCCTCCAACACCACCACAGCACGCCCCCTCCAGCACCACGACAGCACGCCCCCTCCAACACCACGACAGCACGCCCTCTCCAACACCACGACAGCACGCCCCCTCCAACACCACGACAGCACGCCCCCTCCAACACCACGACAGCACGCCCCC